AAGTCAATGTTCTAAAGATTTACTTGAAGTTTGGGAAAGATTTATCTCATGTTTTACATCGTAAATCTATCAGTTTCATATGTCTGTCATAACTGTAGTACCAGAAATACTAATATTACAGGATCTGGATTAGGCCATCTCGTTTAAACCATTACGAATTGGTGATCGCCAAAACGTCTCTCTACCCCTGCTATGAAGTAGGGTTCAATGTGGGGCGTGTGACTGATGAAGCGGGAATGTCGCTGAAGCGTCCGTAAGCCACTACCGTACCAACCTCGAAAAGGCTCTAAACATTCTTACAGACAAGCTACGGATTCTACGTTTAACGTTGCTCACCTGTCCGAATCCTCGTCGTCTTCATAATAGGGGGCTTTATGTTTCGTGTACCGTTTTGAGGTCGGAAAAGAACTACATATAGTGAAGCAGAAGATTATGACGAGGAGGGCAAAGTGCCTCATTGCAATTGAAGAAGAAAAGGCCTAAGCCGTGAAAGAATGTTGGTCTGTTTATGTACGAATCTCTAGCGATCATACATTCGGGTGGTGGGCGGACGGAACACAGTTCCTGGTCAGTGGTCATCTTGATTTATGATTTTAAAAAAATCAAAGTAATTCACTGCAATATCATTTTATCTAGTACTGTTTAATGTATAACAGTACTGCTACAGTACTTTCGATTTGGCGTTGATAGGCACCTTTGGTACCAAACATTTTTGTTCCGAGTTTAAGTGTATTTTTATTCACGTGATTTTTCGCTGATAATACAATGTAGCTTCCTATCACTTCTCCCGAAAAGAGAGAAACGTCATAAACCAGCCATCACGATTTCTGTAAACGATTTTTCGTCATAGTGTTTTCTGTAACATAATTTTGAGAAATAACTTGTTTCGCTATCTCTGCAGGGTAGTAATGTTGGCGCACTTCCAGAAAGAAAGTTCGAAGGTAATATTTGGTTATGTTGCTACCGAGTCAGTTAATCACGTAGAGTGGAGAAAATCGCGTTTATTCTCCCTGTACTCTCATCACACTTTCAACTATCTCGCTGCATTAGCATTTAAATTATTACAAAATAAAAAGAGGGGACACCTGATTTTTTCAAATTGAGCATTTCTAGAGAAGCTTCAAAATTTCTGACATCTATCCCGGCCTCAAGGGTTTTCCAAGCTCACATTTTGTTAGCACCATAGAGTATTGCGAATATTTAAAATTGTTGCAATCATGCTTATTGTCCTACTTACACTTCGAAGAGTAATTACTCGAGTTTTTGACTCTCCACCTAGGTGATCTCATATGTGGATACAAGGTGGTCTACTCGTTCCGCTTATATATTTATCCCGCGTTTTTGCAAGAGGTATGCTATGACATATTGTTTTTTAACTTATACAGTTTCCATCCCGACCATTAGGACACATCACGCAAACTTTTATTTCACATATGGTCTATAGAGCAGATGGCGACTTGATGAATTGAGTGGAATTCTTTAAATCCTACAGAGTTCGCCAGACTACTGTTTTTCCAGACACCTACTAATTTCGATATTAACTTGTTTTATATGAAGGATATTAAAGTTATCTCCCCTCTTAGGATTGGCATAGTATTGCCTTGAATGTCCTTTGTATCTTTATATTAGAAGATTTATAACAGTGAGGAGGTGATAGGAATTGACTTGTAAAACAGATTTTTGACGGGTCAGTTCTAATGGGGCACTAACAGTTTTTGACGGAAAACAGATGCGTCGTCATCGTCGCATTCTGTTTTGACGTAAATATTGTCAGATTTTTATTTTAGCAACTAGTCAGTCTACAATCATTGTTGATTGATTGGCATGATGTACGATGTGTCAGTTGTTTCTGAGTATTACGACAAACTGTGTGAAACTCATCTGTGAAACTTTCTCTTCATATTCACGTGCATCTCACGAACGAGGGAGATGGCTTTATTATTTTTATATCTCAAAATACTTTTTCAAACATCAAGATGGAATGAATATCAATAATGTCGCTGAATAGTATTGTGGAGATTAGTACACAGAGTATTCCGTCTGTAGCTGACTAGCATAACTGGTCCATTTAAATAGGAATCTTTTTGATTAACTGAGAAGTATATTCTATTGAATAATCTTTTCAGATATTATAATAAGGGCTCAATGAAGCTTTAGCGTCTCATCACTGATCGTCATTTTTGACTTCTCCCATCTTTTTAGAATGATGAATATTCACTTATGCAGAAAATATTTCCGCGTCGAAGCTTTCACATCAAATTTTCTCAGTTTAACCCTAGACTGATTTTATACGTTAAGAATCCATTTTCAAAAAGGTTATGAGGTCCCCGACGAATTTCCATTTGATTGGAATGCTGCTAGTTAGACGAGATTTTCTTTTTTTTTAAGTTCTTGGAAGGTCGTTCCATGATGTACCCAACCGTTTTCGCAGCATAGCTTTGTAAAAAAAAAGTACATCCATCTGTTGTTGATAATAGTGAATTCCAGTCGGCTTCGAGGCGTAGCGGGGTTTCTATCCAATTAGACAGTGCTGAGCTTTTGAGCAAAGTAGATTATCGTATTAGTTCGACACATTAATTTTAGGTGGAAAAAATTTCTCAAGGGAGCTAATTTTCTAATGATAAAAATTCGCAGAAATCCGATGAAGATAACACTTAGCGAATTACTTCCCACCGTTTATTTGTGAAATCCTCTGCCTCCATTCACGATGTGAGAGCTAGCATTGTTGTCTCTGAAGATGGATAGTGATCGTCATCCAGTTTGATATCAAACTTTTTTTGCGTCTACTCGAGAGTTTAAAAAAAAACTTAGAAAACCAGTTTTGTGCTTCATTTAAGACAAACAGATTCACTGATATTGTCAAAAGTGCCAAATGCTCAAATTAAACATCCACATGCGGTGTATCAGATAATGCAGATGTATAATAACATTTAGAACATCTAACCAGGCAGTTGTTCGAGATTTCGGTGCCAATCCTGTCAAGCAGGTCAGTGGAGTGGTCAGTAGTGTAGTCTATCAGGAAGCATGGTGCTGGTTTGACACCCACCCGACTTTCTATTACGATCTGTATGAGATGCCGTACCTTCGATATTCCAGAGAAAGCAAGGAGAATCGACTCAGTCAGCATTCCACAACATTCATAAAAATAGTATATTCTAAATTCACAATCGAAACAAAACATCAATTTATCGAAGTCTTTTGCGGATAATGAACGCGAGGAGACAATATGAATGCAGGAAGTGTTGTCGTCCGGCCATAGATCGTCGCGATGGTTAATGTTACAGTAAAATGCTTGTTAAGCAGTCGGTTTTCTCATTCTAGTCAGAAGTCGTTTTCGATCCGGTTTTCAAGGACTTCTATATCGAATGACGTAAGGCCTTCGCATTTTAGTCATTACACAGAAACTAGAGGCCAGCAATGCATGCGTTGGTTTAGAACCGTGGACCACAAACTGAAAACTTCTTTTCTAATTCAGTTTGAAAGTGAAGAAGGTTGCAGTGACAAAAATAGTTCAACAAATATCTCAGAAGTTATGACTTCTGTAGAGATGAGTATGATTCCGTTATCTCAGTTCACTTTCAACCTTTTCGAGGTATAGCCTTTTTTGCTTTTCTTGGAGCATAGTTTTTATCCGGTAGCTTATCCCACGGAGATTTCCACTACGCACTTAGTTTCTAAGAGAAATTTTTTTGACAACTGTAGCAGCAAAAGTAATATTGAGTTTCACGCTCGACACGTATTATCACGCGTATTTTCGTTACTTATTTGTAATTTTATCCCTGTTCCATAAAGATTTCTACGTTTCCGTATTAGAGGTGTAGAAAAACCTCAAACTATCGTTTCATGATTATGAGAATTCCATTTTTATTTTATATTACCAAATAAACCCTCTAGTAAAGCCAAACATAGAAGCGCATAACGTAAACTTCTCTTCGCTCTTCCAGCAGACTTACCTACTTAGATACTTAGATGATCCGTCTTCCCTAGTTGTGCGGACCCCAGCACTTATTCCGAATGGCATATTGCTGGTCGTGCATATAATATTCCTTGGTTGGTACGCCAGGGCCATAGACCGGTGTTTTGGAGGTTTCGGCCTCGTCGTCAGTGACCCTCGCCCCCTATTAAGCCCTGCACTGTAGCAAGGAGGGAGGCGTATGTGGTGATGGCAGTGTGCAATGACACTGGTCCATCAGCACTTTTCAGTCGACGGACTTCAATTGGTAGACCAGAAATAATTCATAAGATTGATTGTTCTCAAAACCTCATAATAAACATTCAAAATAATTCCAAAAAAATGGCCCTGGCGTACCAACCTCGTTTAGGCTCTAAGCATTCTTTTTTTTGGAATTATTTTGAATGTTTATTACGAGATTTTAGAAACAGTCGATCTTATGGATTATTTTTGGCCTACCAGCCGAAGTCTGTCGACTGAATAGTGGTGATGAACCAGTGTCATTGGACACTATACCATCACCACATACGACTCCCTCCTTGCTATAGTGCAGGGCTTAATGTGGGGCGAGGGTCACTGACGAGGAGGCCGAAACCTCCGAAACACCGGTGTGTGGCCCCGGCATACCAGCCTCTATGATATCCTTCAGTGGAGCGAACGGCTACAGCATCAGAGTACGCTTTTTACTGCATATATTTCACCGTTCTGTAATTATTTTAGACTTTTTTGAGTTCATTATTGCTTTCAGTCAAGAAAGGCTATTTCAAACCGTCCATAAAATGGCATCCAGACAAGGCAGCCTCTGATGAAGACGCGACAAAAGCCGCTACTGCAAAGTTCCAGATTATCAAGAAAGCTTATGAGATACTATCCGACAAAGAAAGGAGAGCTCTCTATGATGAATCTGGTGATTTTTTTCCGAAGTTATCCAGTACTTTTTATACTTATCGCCTAGAGAAGTGAGAAGGCAAACAATATGTAATACATGTAGTCGGCAAGGACTTTTTGGTCATATATCCAATAATGTTGAATAATATGCAGAACTCCGGACCCCGGGCGGGAATTGAACTCGCGTCTTATCCTTTCCGGAGGTACGTGCTAACCACTGAAATACCAGAACTCCTGCTCTGCTTTCACTGTTTCTGTAATTGATAGGTATCGATTCAGGCAGCAACCAATCATAAACGGTTTGGTCTCGTAAGCATATAGCGGCACAAAATTCAGTTACGCTGACAGCTGTTGGATACATTTAATTGACCACGAATCCTCTTCAGAGCGAGAACACTGGTAGTGCAGTGGTTAGCATGAACCCCTGGAATGGGTGATGGTTATCATGATTAATGGTTATTGATGAGACGCGGTTACACTTCTGCCTGCATTCGAAGATCTGCGTATCACTCAACATTATTGGTTACTAGTTATAACCTTGGGATACAATTGTATGCTAATGCTAAACAGGTTAGTGCTGATGTGCTTACCAGATAGAATCTATCGCCGGTTGCTTGCTAACAACTGTAATACTTTTCATCGAAGAAAGCGTTACTCTCAGGTCGGTGGCCTCGATGGTGTAGCGGTTTGCACGCGCCCCCAAGTATGAGTAAAACAAGGGTTTACTTCTTATAACTCAGTATTAATGGATACATCACGAAAATGTTTGACTTCGCTTCGCAAAAATCCGATTTTCTGCCAAAAACCTACCTTCGCTCTACTTTCCTCCAATAGAGTTTCTGCTTCTTTAGCTTCCTTCAAAACCTTCCTTCTACGTTTGGAGGAGGCTGCTTACAAATTGATCATTTAGATAAGAAACAACTTCACACATCTATTTCCTCACCGCAGACGTGGAAGCTTTATACTTAGCTGTCTCCGTCAAGACTCCGCTGGAGATATTCCGATCGATGTTTTTTTAAAATCCTTACTCCTTTCAATAGCTATATAAGTACTGTTGAAATTGACGAGGTTGCCGAAACCTCCGAAACACTGGTGTATGACCCTGGCGTAACAACCTCGTTTAGGCTCAAAACATTCTTTTTTTTTTTGGAATTATTCTGAATGTTCATCACGAGGTTTCAAATACAGTCGATCTCATGGATCAAAATCAGTTCAATCCTCGATTTTTTTCAAATATGACTAATGTTATGGAGTGAATGAAGACTGATTATGTCGTTGATTGCTGATTACGTATTTATTGTGGTGAATTGTGAAGGTGAATTGTTGTTTACATTGCAAATAAAACATGAGTAAGATAAAACTGTCAGTGGTTGTAAACAAGACAAGATAAATTATGCAGTAAGAGTTGAAAACAAGTTTTTTTTTTTCGCGTCGATGTGGTTTTCCTGCTATCAGATTTCTAGGATGTATGGACACCCTTACATAAGTGCCTTAGTAAAAGTCTCTTAAGTGATATTCTAACTTTTGGCATCAGTGAAGTTCCTTATAAATCAATTATCAGCAAACACCATATAACCACTAAGCGCGCGACAGCTTCTCTTCGTAATTGTACGGAGCGTCTGCCGGGCAAAAATGATCGGCGTCCCGAACGTGGTTGAATGGATTTGTATTTTTGTGTTGGTGTTAATCTCGCGTACAATTTGGACTTTGAATGAGTATGAATATAAGAAACGTTAAAATTTGCTAAGAATTCGTCTGCTTCTCCTGCAAAAGTGAAATATCATTTCTTCAACAGTTGAGGTCAAAATAAGCCGAGTACGGTCACTGTGCTTAGTTAATTCATGATTTATGACTATATTCATAACTGTCCTTCGTATAGTTCCTTATCAATCCGTTCATGATTACCCGAGTGGGGCTGTTAAATTGTTGGTGATTAATACCACATAGACCGAATTATTATTATTAGTGACTCTTTTTTATTCATAAAGTCACAAGGCCTTACAGGTTTCCTATTACTTCAAAATCTCAATTTCTCAGAAGTATCAGCTGTCTTATCCGTCCCGTTGATGTCGAGTGACTCGAGCGGGTACCAACAACACTTTCATTTTTCAGCGTGCAAGAGTAGCCCAGTGGGTCCTCCTCACTTTAGGGATTCGCTGAGCATCATATCTTTCTTTCATGCCTTTCGTGAAGAAATCGGACCATCGGGTCAATTGTCTTCCTGTAGAGCGCTTGATATTCCGAGAAATCCCGTCGATAGCGGCTCCAGTTCATTGGCTGTCGTTGGAGCGCATCACGTGTCCGGCCCACCTTATTTTCGATAGCCTGGCGTGTAGAACGGCGTCTCCGATCTTCGATCGTTGACGTAGGTCGGAACTTTCTTTCGGATCCTTTCTCTCATTTGCGAGATACGGGATACTCTTAGCATCGACATCTCGACTTTGCTTTCAATAACGCCGACTGATCTATCACTTTGCTTACGTAGCGACCACGTTTCTGCTGCATTCGTTAGGGCAGGGATAATTGTCGAGTCCAAAAGGTGGGCACGGAGTCGGATGTTCTTCGTCCTTTTCACTACATCTTCGGTGCTCTTAGACGTTCCCCAAGCCGCTCGTTTTCTCCCGCTCAACTCTGGGGCTAGGTCGTTCATCATGTTGATTTCACGACCTAGATAGACGTAACTGCAGTATTCGGAGATTTTCGTTTCCGTTGACCATGAATGGGGCATTCAAAACCCATCCGTTTTTCATGAATATCATTTTTGTCAGATTTAGTTGAAGGCCAATCTTTCCACAGGCATTGTCGTAATCGGTCAACATTCGTTCGCTTGGCTGATGCTTGGTGTTAGGAGGATGATATCATAAGCGAAGCGAGGACGGTTTAAATGTCGACCGTCAATTTTCACTCCTGTATCGTCCCATTCTAATGTTCGCATGACACTTTGGAGGGTGGCAGTGAATAATTTTGGCAAAATTGTATTGCCTTGTCGAACCCCTTTTCTTACGCCAATGGTGATATTGTTGTAGAATGGAGATATTTTGGTCGCAAAATCTTTATAAAGCTCAAGAAGGATCATTATGTACCGAGTAGGGACGCCCTGGTTATCCAGAGCCTCTACAACCGCTTCCGTTTCCACTAAATCAAAGGTTATCTTCAGATCGATGAAAGTGAGACGGAACGGTATTTTGTACTTTCGTGAAACTTCAATGAGTCTTGTGATCGTGTGGATGTGGTCCATGTTACTAAATCCTTTTCGGCGTCCTGCTTGTTCGCATGGCTGTCCTTCTTCCAGTGTTCTGTCATTCCTGTTTAGGATGAGTGAAAATCTCCCTTATTGAACAACAACACAGTCTTGCTTATTTCTGTTGAATGGGATCCTTACATTCTGACAGGTAGTCAGTAAAGAATCGAGCCATAGTGTTGATGAGAACTGGCGGAAGGTTCTACAGGTGTTCTGGTCTAATCCTGTCTGGAGCGGGTGTTGTTCTGTGCTTAACCGACGAAGTAACTTGGAAATCCAAGAAATTTTGGAACACGGTAACAGTAGGTTCCACAGATGCCTGGATATGATATCATGTAAATTGGGTGCTGTAAAAATCATCACCGACAGAGGTGATGGCGAAATTCAGGAGCAGAATCCGGGTTGGGTGAGCAACGTACCACGCCACAGAATCCGTCATCCTCAGAGAAACCCGAGTTGCAAGGATGGAAGCCTCCGCCCGATTCACGAGGACTAACGACTGTTCTGCCGTGATTCCGGGAAGAAACATTGTCTACCGACATTGAGTAGCTTACTGGAAAGATTATAACGGTATGTCAATTTGCAAAAGAACCCATGCAAATATTCACCCGACCACGTGCAAGAAACTTACAAACAACGAAACGAATGAATGAACCGATGGAAGCCGCATTACAAATGAAAATCTATCAACTAACTGCTTGGAAAAATAAGCTGAAAAAATAGGACTAGTGAGAAGCGTCGTCAACTAGTTGCATAATGTCAAGTTTTTGATGTTCTCAAATTTCAGTTTGTGATAAATTCTGTTGCACTCCGCTTACGAACTTTTCTTTACCACGTTGAGCACTAAAACATCACCAGCTAAACGTTCTTCACTTCGCTTTATGGCCCTAACTTTCCTGAGTTTTCACGGTTTCGTACAACGAAGCACTACATCACGACTATATTATAACTCAGTGTTGCATAACATTTCGGAACCTTGAACTTGATCGCAGAGAAGCCTGAATAAAGCTCGAAATTTGTGGGCAAATCGGAAATGCACCTATGAAATTTCCTTTCTGTTTTCGTTTCAGAGAGCCAGGTGAATGTGGTATTACGACGGTACTGTATCTAACTAAAATTGTGAATCGCACTGAACAGCGCTACAATAAAAGAGAATTTCCATTGAGCCCAACTTTACGTGGCCTTCTCAGTCTTCGTTCTTTCTCTTTGGAGTCACTAAGCTGTTCACAATTATAGCTAGTGGTTGCGATCACAGCTGTTTTTTGGCATCGAGTACAAACGCCTAGTTTGGTACGAAGTAGCCTATAATAGTGTGTCATCTGTCAGTCCTCGTGTACTGTTCATTGATCGGTTCTTAAAATAATTGCAATATCAACTCACCTCGGGTAAGGCTTTAAAAAATTCTTAAAAATTTATACTGAAATGTTTTCTGCGAGGTTTTAAAAACAGTCGATGCCATGGATCAGTTTTGTTCCGCTGGCCGAGACCCATCGACTGAGAAGTGGTGATGGCACAGTGTTATTGTACACTGTGCCGTCACCACATACGCCTCCCTCCTTGTTACAGTGCAGGCTTAATGTGGGGAGGGGGTCACTGACGAGGAGGCCGAAACCTCCAAAACACCGGTGTATGGCCCTGGCATACCAACCTCGTTTAGGCTCTAAACATTCTTTTTTTTTGGAATTATTTTGAATGTTTATTACGAGGGTTCAAAAACAGTAGATCTTATGGAATATTCCTTTTCCTGACGTATAGCAAACCTCCCAACGGAGTTTTGCTATCTTTTCGGGAATTACATGATAATTTAGGTAACGCAGATGGTCCACGACCCTAGAGAGCAAGTGCTACAGCAGTGGTTCAAGGACCTTAGACGAAATGGTCCAAGTGGCGTGGGCGGCACCCAGCTGCCACCAACCTCAACAGGCAGTTCGATCGACGGGCATCATCCGAACGGTCGTCTGACCTCACCCGGACCACCTCACCTCATTTCA